GGCCACCTGCCGGCCCTGGGGTGCCTGAGGCCACCTGCCGGCCCTGGGGTGCCTGAGGCCACCTGCCGGCCCTGGGGTGCCTGAGGCCACCTGCCGGCCCTGGGGTGCCTCTCCGGCCACGGGTGACGGAGCCGCCCGGGGCTAGAGGCTCGGGGCCAAGCTGAAGCCAGGCTGCAGGGCTGAGGGTGGAGCCTGGCCCTGCTCACCCAGAGGGGACCCTGGCACCATCAGAGGGGAGCAGAGCACCCCAACACCCCAGCTGCAGAAGAGGCCGTTTGGGGGGAGTCCCCCTTACTACCTCATGTCAAGTCAGGTCAGTTGTGTGGGTGCCCCTGTGCGCAGCGCGGGGTCACCTTGTGTCAAATTCCAAGATGAACGGGCAGGTGCTGCAGGATCAGCTGCGGGGGGCTGGGAAGGGCCGCCAGCGCCTCCCTTCCCCTGCCCCCCCAGCAGCTGGCCCCTGCCCCAGCAGGGTGGAGAGCTCCAGCCACGGGCAGGCCACCAGGGAGCCCTGCTGGGCACTGCCCACGGCCAGCCCCCAGGAGCCCCGAGAGCCAGAAGGAGTGAGGTGGAGATGGGGGGCTGGGCTGAAAATCCCTGCACATGCAAATGCCTCCCCTCCCCAAAGAAAAAAGGGGGCTGGGAGGAGCCGTCACCCGGGAGACAGGGGGACAGGGCACCGTGGGCAGGAGCCTGGCATGGGGGTGCACAGGGGCCCCAGTGGGGGCCTGGCCGGCCTGCCAGCCTCCCCTGAAGCAGGGGGGGCGGCGAAGGGAGGGGGGGAGCTGGCTGGGACAGAGCGCCCCGGGGCCCTCCGCTCTTTCTGGGTGTGTGCTGGCACAGCTGGGGGTGCGGGGAGCCCCAAAGCTTCACCGACCCGCTGAGCTTCCCTCTAAAGTCAAGTCCCGGGCAGACGGTCAGTGCCTGCCCCTGTCTGTAGATGCGGCCGCGAGGCTCCGCGGCTGACCAGTCCCCTGGCCAGGGCCATTAAGATGCGCCAGGACCCTTCCAAGGGAGCGAGAGAACAGCCCCACCCAGACCCAGCTCCAGAGGCGCCCCCAGGCCCGCGGGGCCCCACTCACTGAGGTTCAGGACCAAGATGTGCGCCACGCAGACGCGGTCGGTGAGGCGGCACGGGGCGGGCGGGCACCGCGCCCGCTCTCGGGCCTTGAAGCACTGGTGGCAGCTGAGGTTCGTGCCTGTGGGCGGCGGC